TTTAGACACAAACTTGGCCCATCAGGTGAGTTATCCAGGTACAAGGCCCGTTGGGTGGTCCGCGGTTTCAATCAGCGCTTTGGTGTCGACTACGACGAGACCTTCAGCCCCGTTGTCAAACCTGCTACAGTCCGCATCATCCTTAGCCTTGCTCTGTCCAGAGGATGGCCCATTCATCAGCTAGACGTCAAAAATGCCTTCCTCCATGGTCAGCTACGGGAGACAGTATACGCCAGCCAGCCTTCCGGGTTTCAGGATCCTGCCCGACCTCATTATGTTTGTCGCCTCAAGAAGGCCCTCTATGGGCTCAAGCAGGCACCACGGTCGTGGTATCACAGATTTGCCAGCTTTATTCAGACTATTGGGTTCCGCGGGTGCAAATCGGATATAGTGTTTAATAAGTGCGTAAATAATCTTCAAACTTTTAAAAATTGTCAAATAATCAATGTGGTCAAACAATTTCGTAAAATGTTCAAAACACGAGCGTATTATGCAAAGATATCAATTATGTAATAGTAAAAAAACTAATCTAAAATTTCAGTTGTGATGTGTAACTTTGAACCACAATTTAATATCTTCAATCTTTTAATTGAACTCTTTTAATGAATTTTTTTTCTTTTATAGAGATATCCTTGAATCGTAGGACAATGTTTTATATGAATTCGATCTTATTCTATGCTCAAATAATTTTAATGTTTTATTGTAAGATAATATCGTTTGAAAATAGAGTTAGAAAAAGATCATTCCTTATCTTAGACTTAGAGCAATCTCATCAGATTAATTTCTTTTTTTGTGCTTGACTTTGATCAATTCTTAAAAGACAAAAACTGTTTGTGCATACAATTCAATTTTTTTAGTGAAATTTGCATACTAAAGATATGTCATTTCCCATGTCTTCTTTCATCACCAATTTACCCCTAGGCAAGTATTAAGGAAGAGCAATGCTAGGGGTACACCTTTGGTGTACCCCAAATGTACACCACCTCTTTTTTTATCACATATTTTTATTTTATTTTTATTTACTTTTTTTTTTGAATTTCTTACTTTTTTGTGGACAAGGGGGGGTCGGGGACAAATGGAGTACTGATGTACCCCTAGAATTTTTCATTAAGGCTCTCCATTAATTAAGAAAAGCGCAAATCGAGTTGCTGTTTCTCTAATTGCTCATCCGATCGGTTTAAACAAAAGTTGCGAGCGAAATTCGTCGGAAATTCGGCCGAGGAAAAATGGTGTCGGCGAACAGGGAAATGGCGGTGTACTGTTTCGACACCTTGGTGGCTCACTGCAACAGCGAAAAACCTCCTCCTCCGGCTTTCGACGACGGCGATCAGTAAGCATACGGTTGCATGAATCTCTTTCGAAAAACCTCATCCTCCTTTTTTTTATTTCTATTGTTATTAATAATTTTGCATTTTGATGAGTTCACATACCATCTAAGAATTGATTGTATGGACTATGGCGAGCTAGCAATCAAATTTGATCCTTTGATTGTGTGTATTTGTTTTGATGAGTTTTATTGAATACAAAAATGATTGGGCTGGTTAGTACATGTGACCTCTCTATTGGTATTCATGGAGTGTATAAATAAAATACTCCCAACATTTTGGTTCCTCATTTGACTTTTTACCGTTTTGGTAAGGTTTGCGTACATACACCCTCCCAGACCCTACGCTTGTGGGGTCAAATTGGGTTGTTGTTGTTGTATATATATATTATAAAAGCATGATATTTCAAGACTATGTTTCAGAATGAAGCTATTGATATTTAAATTTATATTGTGGCCGAAATTTGAAATTGTTGACTAAAAAAGTCAACATGAGCAGAACGAAAGTGGACAAAGGAAGTTAAGTTTTTGCCCTACTACGAGGGAGAGCTCTTAAACAAAATGAACTATTTGGAAATTATTTTTAAGTTGATTAGATTGCATAAAAGCATTATATGTTTTTGTTTGTTTATAAGAGAAAACATGGAAGGGGTAATGTACTAATTTCCCTCACAGACCTCAATCTGCGGGATTTTAACTTATAAAATAATATAATGTATTGATATACCCATATGATATGATTAGGCAGAGTCAATTATATGGACTACACTATATTTACAAATGAAGGAATATTTACTTCAAAGCTGGTAGACTTGGGCGGCCGAGCTTAAGCTAGATCTGCAATGCCTAAACTGTGTTCCCTTGCTCTACTCTGTCACCTGCCTACTGCAAGTTTTAATAATTGTATTGTAACCTTTTTTGCTGTTGAGCTTATAATATTTGATGAAAATATGAAATCATGAAAATTTTCACAAAAATTGATAAGTATGTTCGTATTTCTTTCAATAAGTGCATTACCCCCCATGCCCCAAAATGAAGGCCTCGTTTACCATATTGGGGTGTACTAAAATGAAGGCTCCATCTCTCATTTCCTTACAAGGCAAATGCTTAAATAACTATTGACCTTTTTCTTCCTAGTTTTAGTAACTAACTACCACTCTAACCCTATGGATGTTTGTCCTAACCCTACTATTCATTGCAATCAACCTAGCACATCATTAATCTATGGGACTTTCATTTTGGGACGGAGAGAGTATAGTAGTTGAACTACAAGTTGGATGTTTATGCATTGTTTCTTGCTCTTTGCGGGGTTGGGTTGTTAGCTTTGTATTTTTATTTTATCCACTTAAAGGTTCATTAGCATAATGGTTACACTCTGTGAATTTGGCTGTCTTTCATATGAGAAGTTTCTTTTTGCACTTAGTCGCATTTGGACCAAAGTGTTACATTTCTGTTTTGCAGCCCATTATTTGTGACATGGAAGAAAGTGGAGAACGGCGGTGAACCTCGTCTGCGTGGTTGCATTGGCACTTTGAAGCCTTGCCGCTTAACAGAAGGCCTTAGATATTTCGCTCTAGCTAGGTTTGTGAGTAGTGGCATACATATTACAAATAATGTTTTGTTTTTATATTTTCTTTTACTATTGCAGTACCAATTGCTAAGTGATCAAAGGCGGAGATTTGGAAACCGTTATTCATTCTTACATTTTTTTGCTTATTAAAATGATATCACATGAAGTCGTTTCTTTAGTATAATTCTTTGTTCTTTTCTTTTTTATTAAGGGTCCATTTGGTTTTGGGGGGGGGGGGATTTTGATTCCATTTTCTCCTGTTTGGTAACATAAGTTGCAAGAAAATATTTTCCAAGGAAAATATATTCTCCCATCAAAGAGAGAAAATTTCTCTTTGATTTTGAATGAAAATTTCTACTCACTCCCCGCCCTCGCCCCCATCTGCCACCCCTTGGCCCAGCCCCGCCACCACCATGCCCTCACCCCTCCCACCCCAACCCCTACTACCTGCCACCCTACCCATCCCAGCCTCCTACCGCTTATCCCCCACCCCTTGCCAGTCCACACCATTTGCCTGTAGTCCTTCCCCCCCCTCCACGCCAATACCCAGACCCTATGCCGTCCGCCCTCATGCTACTAAAATAGTTGGAAATTATCTTTAAAACGTGTTTTTAAAAATTAATTTTGAAATATTAACAATTAAAAAGCTCTCTAAGTGCTTAAATGTGAAAACACTTATACTTCCAGTTATCCCAAACTTGCTCTTAAGTCTTTAGAAAGTTGGAAATTCTACTGTGTATAGTGTATGTTACTTGTGAGTTGTGACTTCAAACTCCAATTGACAATCTAGTTTCATGTTATTAATCTATCACTCTATCAGCAGGTTAGTATCTATGTAGTTTGCTCCTTTCCCCCTTCACTTTATTTCTTGTCTCTTTGTAGGAAATAGTTATCATATCATGCTACTGATGTACCAAACTATCATTTTGTAGCTCAGTGTTTTTTATATGGTGCAGTGCTCTTAAGGACCGCCGTTTCTCCCCAATACAGGCTGAAGAATTGCCTACGCTTGAATGTACTGTTTCTGTTCTGGTTAATTATGAAAATGGACACGACTATCTTGATTGGGAGGTATCATTCCTTAACACAATTACATTAATTAACATACTTCATTTCCTTGTTACTGTGCATTACACGATTATATCATAATTCTTATTTTTTTAACACAATTCCAAGAAGATATGGAGTGAGGTGCCTAGAGGAAATTTGAGGTTTTTGCACCATAATGATTGCATGACCGACTTACAGTATACAGGAGCCAGTGAATGTAGAGGGCTATAGTGCTAGGATAGACATAGATATGAGTGATTAGCAGTGTGTTTAGGGTACCAGGTTAGTCAGTTAGAAGCATGTTTAGGGCTATCATGGTTAGCCAGGTGTTATGGCGTGCTTGCTTTGTCGCTTTTCTGTGTTGTTCTCTTATGACTAACTTTTTCTTATCTCTCTCTCTCTCTCTCTCACACACACACAATGCTTTTAAAGAGGAATCGTTGAACAGATGCTAGTTGAATATTTATGTCGGTTGTGGGTAAGGTGATCATGATTCTACTGTAGAATTTTTTGTTATTATCAACTCAAGCTGGAAGAGAGTTCATTCTTATCATGTTTGCATAATTTTCAATGTTTTCTTTTTTATATATTTAGGTTGGTAAGCATGGAATAACTATTGAATTTGTTGGCGATAATAATTTTGAGGGAAGTGCCACATACCTTCCAGAAGTAGCTGCCGAAGAAGGTGACTAACTTGTTCTCTTCAACTTATTCTTATTGGAACCATATCGGACCACATTAGACCAGATGAGATCAAAACAACTTTAGAAATAACTACAATCAGACCACGCCAGATCAAATCATGCCTTAATGAAACCAGACCGGAGACGAAGAGAATAAGCTCTTATCATCTTTAGAAATAACTACAATCAGACCACGCCAGATCAAATCATGCCTTAATGAAACCAGACCGGAGACGAAGAGAATAAGCTCTTATCATCTTTGTTCTTGAATGTATCACACAATATCCCGTGTTCCAAACCGGGGTAATTGTTTTTGTACACCAAATATAATCTAAAGGCAAAATTTACATGCGAAACTTGTCTATACAAAATTCGCACACACGCATGCAAAAAACAAGTTTGACTGAGAGTTCTGCCATTAGTGTGAAATTGGTGTACACTTTTGGTGTACACCAAATATTGCTCTTTAAACAAATCACTCAAGTTAGGGGCGATTGGGAACTGTATTTTCTTATGTTTATTAAACGTCTTATCTTTTGTCCATTGCTAATGGAGCTAAAAGAGTCACCATTGACATTGTTTTAGTTTCGGGCACATAATGGACCAAGTAAAAAAGGCACATTAACCTTCCTATGCTGTGTTGTTATTAAATCTCTTGTCATCCAGATTTGTGTGTTATTGTTGATTCTTTTGCTCGACCTCAGGGTGGACACAATATGAAGCAATCGTCTCACTAATGCGAAAAGCGGGCTACAGAGGCCCCATAACCGAGTCAATATTGAAGGGGATCTGGTTAACTCGCTACCAGAGCACACTCTTCACTTTGTCTTACAACGATTACGCGGACCATGTGAAGACCACCAGATGTGCAACACAAGTTTGAGGCTCCCTCCCCGTCCATGGTGTGCTTGCACTAAAATGATGCAATCCCTGTGCTCGAAGTCAGTCTTTCGGTTTTTGCTTCATTTTGTGTTTCAAATACTTTTGCAAATTCCTCGTGCTACGCTTCGCTGTTTATTGAGGTCAGAGGTAAGTTTGCGTACATCTTGCCCCATACCCTATATTCTAGGTTTGGTTTGGTTCTGGTTTGTGTATTTCAGAAATTTTAACTCGTTAAAATTGTTATGGATAACACTATGTTTGGTTCAATGAGTTTGGGAGAAAAATAAAAGAAAAGAAAATGATTTTCTTTCATTTTACTCCCCAAAATGATTTCTTCTTTCAGTAAATTTTGACTTCTCATTTTCTTTTCTTTCCTTACTCTTTTCTTCTCCTCTCTAACCAAACAAAAAAAATTGTTTTAATCTCATTTTCTTTTCTTTTTCATTTGAAATTTCTTGAACCAAACATAGTGCTGCGAGGGGTCCATTTTTCTGAAGATTTGAAGTTGGTTACATGACGCTCATAGTCGGAGTGTATCTTATGTCAAGCTCCTATTTGAGATGATCTAGGAGGCAACCAAAATTGTTTTTCCATAAGCAATGTTGTTTCTGCAAGCAATCATATCTTAGACATATTTCTTTTTAAAATAACAACCAATAAAATTTAGCAAAGAAAAGTATTTTTAATGATAATGTCATGAAATATATGAGTAAAATATATGAGTCCGTTGCTTATGGAATTGTCTAGGTGATGTGGCATTGAAGGAATCATTTAAGATATAAAATGTGTGTATCTTATGCTTTTCTCACTAAAGATGTTCTTTGATTTGATATGAAAATTATGAAAGACTAAATTGTGTGGTTGAAATTGATGTATGAGAGAAAAAGTTATACCAACGGATGGTTGCACGGTTGGCAGTGCGGAGTTGTGGTAACCTTGAGCTGATGAGTTCAAACCCCACCACCTGATAGGAGATTATATTTTTGGCCTGAACTCGCAAACTCCGCTGATTAGGATTAGTCGAATTTTGCCAAAGGTGGGTTCGGAACACATGTGGTCCAACCACTTAAAAGAGAGAAAGTAAAACTCTTTTTTGGAATGTACAAAAAAGGAAATGTCGAAGCTTTTATGTGATGAATGGAGTATAAAGTAACTTTGGATGTTGTTTTTGCATAATCTTCGTACGACCTGGTTCTCTTGTCACTAGGTAACGATGCCACTCTGGTACCAAAAGTTTTTTGGAGCATCTTCGGTGATTTGTTCGTAAAATTGATACCTTCTATCTCTGGTAAAATCCCTTGCCTTGGGCTGATCGAACCCACCCATGTCAATTAGACCTCTCAAATTTAGTTGACTTTGAGGTCCGACTCTAAAGTTGGGTGGTCCAATTGAAGGGGATATATGATGAATTCAGGTTAGGCCAAGAATATGGACCATCAAATTTATGAACAGAGCATCGGTGTGGTACTGTTGCCTAGCGACAAGGAAACCGGGCCAACTTTGTATGTGACTTGCCAAACAATTCCTTCCTTAACCCGAAGTTATTATCTACAATTATTATTAACATAGTCAATTTAAATAGTTATGTCATATTGTCATTTCTAAATTTGTTAACAAAATTGATAATGCTTTTTAAATATATAGAGTTCATTTTTTTCTAAAAAAATTTAATAATAAATTAAATTACTTCGTACTTCGTATTAAAGAGTTGTTTTTTTCTGCGCCTACGGTCTATATGTGAAATGCGTATCTTGTCACACTTTAAAAGGGGTAACAAATGAGTCTTTTTTTGTTGTAAAAAACTTAATTTTCACATTATCAATGCATTAAGGTCTATAAGATAAGTTGTAAAAAAATGTATAAAATGAGCACCGAAGAATGTATAAAATTGAATTGTAAAAAAAATAAAATTGATCTTCCTAATCCGAGGGAGAATCTAAAATTTGAGACCAAAAGGGTAATAAAAGTAGTCGAGTCAATCAAAAGACTCAAAAACTGCAAGTTGAGGGCGTTATCGTAATTTAGCTCACAACTCCACTACGACTGACGGACGACGGTCCAATATACCTTCCCCGGCGACTTCTTCTTCTTCCCCACGAAGCTTCAACCTCTGCTCCAACCAATTTACGTGTCTGCAAATCTAAGGTTCTCTCTCTCTCTCTCTCTACATTAATTTACCTTTTATATCTATCTCAATTGCTCTTGATCTCGTACAAATATTCCGCTTCTGGTAGAATTCGCGTTGACATCTATAATCTGGATTGATCTCAGCAGTTATCGCCGATCTTACGTTTTCGTGAAATTTCTGATCTTAACCTAACAGAAGTTTCTAGTTAGCTTTTTCTACTGCGCTAAATTTGTAGGGGTAGTTGAGAATTCTAGTTTTTACGGCCTAGGTATGTATATGAGTTTGGACCAGATTTTGTTCTGAGTTAATCTATTCACCCACGTTCTTAATCAATCATCTTGTTTTTTTCTTCAATTTTCAAGTAATGAGAATTTGCAATGACGATAAATGTGTACACAGTGGGGTATGCTAGTTTCATCAGAATGTTTTCCTAAATTAGGGGTTTTCCCTCTATCGACCTTCAAAAGCAATCTGATCTTTTCATTGTTTGCCTAGTTTTTGCTTCTTGAAGAACATAAGCTTCAAAGTGAAATTGATCAAAACCAGCACTAAAGTTACTAGCTTGTTTATTTTTCATTCAGTGGGTGAGAGTTTTTTTTCTTATTTTACTGAAGCACTGTATCATCGTGAAATCAGGAAGGTACTGAATTGATACTTGTATCAGATCTGACGTTGGAGTTTTCATACAGAAATGAATCCCAAAGGCTTGATTTATAGCTTTGTTGCAAAAGGGACTGTTGTTCTAGCAGAGCACACACACTATTCTGGGAACTTTAGTACCATTGCCGTCCAGTGTTTGCAGAAGCTGCCTTCTAATAGCAACAAGTATACTTATTCATGTGACGGGCATACATTCAACTTTCTTATTGACAGTGGATTTGGTATTTTTTTTATTGATTTCACTTGCTTGTAAATGTTACCCGGTTGCGCTTAGATTGTTTACTGGAAAATTATATATTTTTTCATATGGCTATGCAGTTTTTCTTGTTGTTGCTGATGAATCATTGGGAAGAAACGTGCCTTTTGTTTTTCTTGAGAGAGTGAAGGATGACTTCAAGCAGCGTTATGGTGCTAGTATAAAAGGTGATGGTCCACACCCTCTTATTGATGATGATGAAGATGATGATCTCTTTGAGGACCGGTTTAGCATTGCATATAATCTCGATAGAGAATTTGGGTATAGTCAGCATCTTTTTCCTAAAACATTATTCTAAGTATCCTCTGTATGGTAATTCCTGAATTCTGATGTACTCCTCTTTTGTGCAGGCCAAAGCTCAAAGAGCACATGGAGTACTGCATGAACCATCCAGAAGAAATGAGCAAGCTTTCTAAACTGAAGGCTCAAATAACAGAGGTTAAAGGAATAATGATGGACAACATCGAGAAGGTGTCACTCCATCCCTCCGTTTTTTGCCTTTCTTCCGATTATATAGTTTCAATATCTTCAACTTGCTTTTCTTCTCATCAAATTATAAACATATTTAACAAAGCTATCTCCTTCAATCAATTCAATAACATTATAGATGTGAATGCGAGATAAAATATTGATGCACTTAATGCATTTCTTTGATCAAGACTTGATGCATTTTTGTGGTGCAATGTTGGAATTATTCAACTACAACAATGATGGTCCCACATGTGAACTTGAAGAGGGTTGGTGTACACAGATCTTACCCATACCCAAGAGAGTTTCAAAAAGACCATTGGCTCAAGAGAAATGTTTGAATCATCCTCACTCAGTTCTTTCTCTACACTGCATTTCTAGAATAACTTGACTTTAAAACTTGAAAATAGCTTCAATATTAGATAGAAATAGCATAAGGGTATCTCCTTAGATACAATGTATCGATAGAGGACAGTTCACAAGAAAGAAAACCACTGAAGTTGAGGAAGCTGCTCTACATGGTGAACAAACTGTAGAAGCTGTATGGAGTTGAAAGACTAGAAACAAAATGAAAACCAAGTCCTAAACATACTTTAAAAATCAAGTCTTTCGCAATTTAATGTATATTTCATTTTCAACACTCTCCATAATCATAAGCATCTAGCTTGTCCCAAATGTAGATTGTTTGAGGCCTTTATAAAGACTTGGTGAATTATCTACGAGTATCAATAGACGTGACAAACTATGTACTGATTTCTTTGGAATGATAATGTCTGATGAAATGACCACCAACCTTTATATGCTTAGTTCTTCCGTACAAAATAGGGGTTGAGGCAATATGTAGAGCTACTTGGTTGCAGAAATTTACTTCATAGAATTTATTCTGCAATATGCGAGACAGCCTAGGCTATATTTCACTTTCAACAATCCTTTTCCAGGACATCCTTTAAGATATTTTAAAGCACATATCATTGCATTCCAATGGCATTTACTACGACAATTAAGAAATTGACTCAACACACTGATTGCAAAGGTTATATCTGGTTTGGTTGTGGTAAGATAATTTAGCTTGTACACCAAGTGCTGATACCTTTCTGGATCTGAGACTCTAGGCATGTCTCTCCGTGATAAGATATGACTTATGAGTTTAATATTAGGGCCCACAGGAGTGTCGACTGATTTTCAATTCACCAGTCCAGTTTTTTGCAATATATACCCATTTTGGACTGAACAACTTCAACACAAAGAACTTAGTGTAATCTTTCTGGATCTTTTGTCTGAAAATGTTGAAACAAACAGATTTTGAGGCATGCCTTAATGTTGTCCTATCTTCCTATACTAGTCAATGTTAAAATGCACAAATTGATGGAAATTGAGCGCTGTAAGTAGTGAGGTCCTAGAATAGTAGGGCGTGTGCTGATAGCCTGAAACTGATAGTTTAATTGTTAGTTTCAAAAACTATATGTAATTGCTCTGCACTGGAGTGATAGTGGAAATTAGTCTCCTGCTATTGTTTTTGTTTAGCTTCCAATAGTAAATTATTTGTTGGTTTGATGCCACTTTTATTCCCGCCAGTTTTATCCTCAAGATATTTTACATAACATTAACTTATTAACCCGGTTGCAGAACTTTTGGTCTTGAAAAAAGTACGGAGTAGTTCTTTATGTATTTTTTTTTGAAATTTCTAAAAAGATTGAAAATTATACTTCTCCCTTTTATATATGATTTTATTTATTTTTTTTAGAAAAAAAATACTTTTGATAGATTTTTCTATAGTTCAGCTGGTTCGTCCAATTCAGTAGTATCAATTATCAACCAACATTAAAGGCTCAAGAATTTCAGCATCTTCTTTGAAATTTACCCTTACCAGATGGTCTCCTAATCGGGCCATCAATCTTTTTAGAATCATGAAAAAATTAAACCATCTCTAAACTGATTTCCTTCTGCGTCAGGTTTTGGACAGGGGCGAGAGGATTGAACTGCTAGTCGATAAAACAGAAAGCCTTCAGTTTCAGGTAAGCAAATCTTTCACATTTTATTAATACCCCTACCATTTTGTCCACCAAGTTCACGACTTTAAGGTGACCCAGCAAAAACACAACTCCACAGGCTGACAGCTTTCAGAGGCAGGGAAGGCAACTCCGCCGGAAGATGTGGCTGCAGAGCCTTCAAATGAAGTTAATGGTGGGAGGAGCGGTCGTTCTTCTGATTATGATCGTCTGGCTCATCTCTTGCGGTGGTTTCAAATGTTGATAACGTTCTTGGACATTCTTGTCCCTATGATCTTTGCTGCTGCCCAGCCACCTGCTTGTACAAAAAATACTTTAGCATACTCTGGTAAATGCTCTTGACTGTTTTCTTGTTCCTTGCGCAGCTTCTTCTTCTTCTTCTTCTCTACTTTGTTGTTCTTCTGTAGTATTCAACCTATGTTTTATTTAGCTCTTGTGCCTCATAAAGATAAAATATGGGACAAAGTTTAACTTCCCAAGTATTATGTATTAAGAAAACCAGTTGATATACTGGTTCGTATATATCTTTTTACATGTACTCCGTGCATGTTTTGTCGAGTACGAGGATACGATTAATCCTAATGTAGGGCGTTGTTATTGCAATATTTGCATGTATGTTTTTGGTTAATCGTTTTACATATGATTATCGTCTGTGTCTGTATAAATCATCTGTGATTGTCATTCGTGGGATGGGTTCTTAGCATTCTTGAGAATCTAAATAGGGATATTGTGTGCGTACACACGTTGTCCTCATACCCTACATTTGTGGGATTTTATTCGATTTGTTTGTTTGTTATTGTTATTTGTTCTAAGTATCTAACTCAATAAAAAATGCCAGTTCTATAATAGAGTAGTTGCAATACTTGCCTTTTCACGTTTGCCGTATAAATTAAGTAATATGCTTTAGTAAAAAAATTTATAAATAAGAATATTATGGTGGTTTATATCTAGAGAAATCTAATAAGATTCCATGTGACCATATATTTTTTCCCATAAATCAATCACATGTTCAAAGTGAAAGTGTGAACATTGTAAAAATTAGACAGTTGTAACCTGTATTGAGCAAATGAATATTTTAATCATATGCAACCATTGTCCAGTATAAATATATTAAAGTCAGACTTCACACAAAAACGAAGCATCACTATCACAAGAAACCTTTCCAATGACAATGAAATCATGTTTAAGTTCAAAGAAAAACTACTGCCCAACAATACTTTAACTTAGCCTGGTTGGCAGGTATAGATCATATTCTCTTCAATTTATTTTTATTGAAACCGTGTTCATATTTATTTTGGGTTGCGGTCTTGTTTTGGTCTTGGATTGCAAGCCAAAATCGTCACCCATTGAATCTTAGCTTTCTCGAGATGTCGTTAAAGAAAAATGTGATTTTTCTCAATTTTAACTTTGAAAAACTTTTCACTATATATAAATGCTACACTAACTTATGCAATTAGTAATAGCTCGATAAGTAGTAAACACTAGCTTCATCGCACATACATTGTGGGTGTTATTAGACTTACAAACAATGCTTGAAACACTCCAAAACCAAACCAAGAATGACTTCAAGTTTGTCTCGATCCATCTTTCGCACAAACACACAAATACAATGATACTATTCACTCGCTACGCACATCAATGAGAAGTTCGGACCAAATATGTTATTGATTTGTGAATAACGCTAGAGGCATTCCAAGACCAAGAGTGACCTCAAGTTTGCCTCCACCCTTCACACAGACACGCATAGACAGTGATATTTTTTCCTATTTATGCGTGTTTATGAAAATGTTTGGGCCAAACTTAGACTTATTTCTTGACTTATTATTCCCAACAAATACCATTCTATTTTTTATATACTTCTTTTTTTTTTCTTCTTCAAAATTCAAATAGTATCAATTGGGCGGCTAGCTTAATTACTAAACTTTGAACTCATGAAGAGGATTAGAAGAGTTGCAGATAGACTTGGAATATGAGCAACAACTGTCCAAGTTTGGTTGTAGGAGAAGTTGTTGATGATGATGATTTGGCGCGACGGGAATTGCGGTGGGAACTGGCGGTATACACCGGCACGACGCTAGAAGATCCCGACGGGTGTGGGCCCGACCGCTCTCCGCCATGACCACTGTGGGCCCCGCCGCCTTCACCGCCTCCGTGTGCTCCTCCACTATGCCCACTCTTCACCACCCCTCCCATGCTTGGAACCAGCAGTTCCCTTCTTCCTGCTATGTCTAACATCATTTTTTTTCTATACAAAAATATACACACCCCTTTCTCTTCGTTCCAAAATTAAATTCCCAGTTTACGTTTTCGACAATCCCAAAATGAAATTAGTACTTTTAACAAATCTTTCTCTTTAAAATTACCTTAACCACTCGTTTTATTAGTTTTTAAACATTTTTTTTTACTCTGTGTAAAGTCAAACCCTGAAATTAATTTGAAAGCGGAATATATAGGAACACATACCTGGAAAAAGGGATGTGTTGTTAAGAGAAGAGGTTGCAGGAGAGAATGAATAGATCAGCAAGATTATGAAACAGCACTTCACTTTTTTTATATTCATCTTATTAGCTATTTTATGTTCTAGCTTTCTTTCACTACCAAGTATGTATGTGTTATGTGTTATATATATATATATCTGTGTGTGTGTTGTATATATATACACACACACACATATATAAACACACTTTGAATCTTAAAAAAATACTTTGAATCTTACCTACATGTGTATAATACCTAGCTTCGTGCATAGGTAGTGTCATTATATGTGTACATATATACAATGTGACTACATAATGATATATATTCTCTCTATCCTTTAGTTTGAACAGCTTTAAGTTTGTTTCTTGGAATCTTTTCTTTCCTTTATTCTTTTCAAAAGTAGACACACAAACATATATGCATCCAATGAAAGAAGATGAGACGGCCAAATAGCTCTAGGGCCATTATGGTTTGAAAAATGTATAATTATACTCATCTCTTTTCAAAACTTATTTCTAAAGTTTTCGTGATCTTAAAACGTTGCACCCACGCTCCTTTGATTATTTGCAGTCATTTTTCTGGCAGAAGGGCAGCATTGGTTTCTATTTTCCAATCCACATGGGCCCTTATCGGCGCATTCAATAGCTTTTTTTTCTTTTTTCTCTAAGATCATTTTTGTGTTTTTATTTTTTTTCATTTCCTGTTTTCGTTTTTTTAATTTTATTTTATTTCTTTTTTATTCATAGTTTTCTTTATTGATTTTTCCAAAAAAAAATCTCTTCATTCTAGAAAAAAACTTTTTAGACATCCCGAAAATGAACCTTATCAGCATATTCATTATGTGTTTTCCTTTTTCTATTATAGCATTTTTTATTCTTTTCATTTTCTTTTTCCATTTTAAAATTTTATTTTATTTCTTTTTATATTCCTATTTTTCTTTATTAAACTTCCCTAAAAAAATTCTCTTTATTCTAGAAAAAAATTTTAAAATATTTAATTTGAGATAGATGAAGTATATGTTAATTTTTTTCATTTTTTTAATTTTTTTTATTTCAAATACAAACAATTTTAAATTTTTGATAACATTATAAATTAAAAAATTTTTCTAAGAAAAGAAAACAAAGTGAAGAAAAAAGAGATCAGGAAGAGCGCACAGATTTTGAACAGTGCTCACATTGCGACTACGGTCACACAAATTGTGAACAATGTGGACGTGGGGATTGATGCCAAACATGTACTCCCTCGTCCCTAAATATTTGCCACACTTGTATTCACAAGGCAAAATATTAAGTTTTTTCAAATCATTTTATTTACATATATAGAAATAAAAAATAAAATTTACATATCAAAAAACTATATGAAAAGTTCTTCGAAATAAGAGGTGTCGAAAATATTTTATTTTATCAAATAATCAATGAAAACATAGAAATAAACAAAAGTTTCCGCGAGTGCTGAAAAAGCAAACGTTGCAAATAATTTGGGATAGATGGAGTGTTCTACATTAGACTATGAATTTTTTAATTCTTACTTTGGTTTTATTATTTCTGATATAAAAGAAGGTGATGTTTGTCTTATTAGTAGTTTGAGCTTCAGCTTTGTTACGAGATCTACGAATCATACTGCTCATCTTATGGCCAAGGACGTTGTTTCTATGTTTGACTTTGTGGAATGACATGTCATTCCACATGTTCTTCTTGTAAACACTGCTATTTCTGATGATATGATGAATTGAGTTTTTGTTGTAATAAAGTAAAAAAAACAATGAGAAATATGTTTCGTCGCCCTTGTGGCTTGGAAAATATGTACCAGCCCTCTCTCTTTGCCATATGATGAACGGAAAATAATCAAAAGGGGCGCGTAAGCAATGTTTTGAAAATAGTGAGACTAAAACATAATGACTTTCCTAATATAGGACTTAAACTTTTTTATTCTCTAAATAGGACTTAATAATGACCTTGTAGAAGGAATAATGTCCAGTAATTATGGACATTTACTTGAATAATGACTACTTGATAATGACCAAAAGTCCTGCATTGAAAAATAAAAACATATGGTCCTATATTGGAAAAGTCATTATGTTTTAGTCCTATTTGCATAAATTTCTCTTGAAAATATGGAGATTTTAGAAATAGGGAATGAAATAACATTGGGTTGGGATTAGATTGATATACTATTGGGCTCAATGGGCTGTGTATAGATTGAACTTTCACCATGGGGATAATGGGCTCCAATGACACGAGGTAAACGAGCCTCAGCTATGGTTGTACTTGTACCTGATAAATACTACTTCGGTTTTCTAAAACGGTTTTTATGTTGACTTTTAAGAGAGAAATAAAGGATGTATATTTATAGTTAACTTTACAATTTTGATTTTGATGTGATGGGTAAAAGTAAGATGTGATGAATAGATTAGTAGTAAAAAAAATAAGATTTAATAGGTAGGATAGAAAAAAGTAAGGGTAAAATTAATTTTTTAATAGAAAGTAGAAACGTTTTGAAGGAAAAATATGAAAGAGAAAGTATTTAAAGAAACGGAGGAAGTATATCAAAAGTTCTACAAGTCAATGATAAATGACATGATTATATTATTTTATCAAATACGGAGTAAGTAACAAAAATGAATATGATTAAAATTTGAGAATAGTGAATAACTAGAGTATAGTGAGTAAGGAATAAAAACAAAGAACATTATTTTGATATTTTCTTTATATTTTAGTCTTATTTAAAGTGATTTCTTTCATTTGTGACTCTAACATTTTCTTGATTTTAAAGGTAGCAATATTATCATGACAAAAAAAGTGGTAAAATGGGGGCACAAAAATGGAAAACATCTTACCACTGCCAAAGAAAACGTTTCCTTTGTGATTAATTTGCCATTTCCTTAAAAACTAAATTAATTACCATTGCTTCAAAAAAATAATTACCATTGCTTCAAAACAACTACTCCGTAATTACCAAATTCACTATATACTATAAAAGGATTTTAATTCAGTTTCTAAACTCCAAATACCATAAAGCATTTTAATTCAAAATTACAACTGAAATTTAAACTCGAGTCATTTGACTGCCCATGAATATAAACCCCAATTTACACTTTTACCAATTTGGATTATGACTATTTTGGTTAACAATTATTCATAATTTATTCCAACTTCCCATAATCAAATTCTTTCCAAAATTCCAAACATATAAACCTATATGATCATAGTGTTATCTCAACATTTCTATCTATTACAAAATTATTAATGTCTTCACCTCAGTCCCATTTATCTGAAGCTTCTGATGATGGTCATGACAATGATGACCAAGAAAACCTTGAGTCACATGATGATGGTGACAATGTGGGCCAAGAAAACCTTGGGTCAGGTGACGATCACGTGCCCGATTCTCCCGGCGACGCCTCGGACTTGCCGCCAGAATCGTATTGCGTCCCGGCGGGTTCCGAGCAAGATTGGTTGTACCGGAACGCGACATTGTTGCGGAAGACGTCTAGAAAAATGGTGTTTCCGCGTGACTTCAGTCAAGGGATAAAATGCTCCCGCGCGTCGCTGAGCCGGATGCGCAGTCTGTCGCTCATTGCTTTCCCGGCCACTCATAAGCACTGGGCGGCGGACGGGACCCAACGCCACAATGGGGTGAGCTTGTTCAGGAGCCGGTCCGAACCGGTTGAGAATTTGGTCGAACCGCCTTCTCCGGTCGTTACTTGTACCGGACGGGTCCGGTCGAAAAATGGAAACCGGAATAGTCAAATGGTTCGGGGCGGTTTTGAGAATTGGGCTCGGTCGAAGAAGGCGGGATTCGACCAAAGGAAATCCGCATAGCACATCATCCGGTTCAATGAGTATTGTGTCTAAACTGGTCTCCGGTCCGACATAAGTTTAGACCGGAGGCAGTGCAAAAGGGTGCAACAACGGTGCAAGTCATATATCTATTGAGTCTTCTTTTTATTTTTTTTATTTTATTGGTTAATTTTTTTTTTTGTTTTCTACTAGAAATAGAGTTATCTACAAAATAGGGACTCAACACTTAGAAAATTTGTTTATGAGGATCATCTTGATTATTTGAAACTATTGTCCTCTTTGACAATTGACAGAACAAATAATTAAATAAAATGTAAAATTTGGGTGAGATTTACTCTCGTCCCAAAATAAAGTTTACACTTTCTTTTTTTCATGTCTCAAAATAAACTGTTGATTGTGAGCGTGTAGCAAAAAGCGATTGGTGACCACAATTTTTTAGGTTCATCCTATCTTGGATCTTTGGTGATGGAGTGAGTGTAAGACTTTACTCGCATGCTTTAGTTTTGGGTCTATTTCCTTTGTCCGTGGAGAGGTTAATGTTGGTGCACATACTCTTGCTAAGCGAGCGAGAACCCAACGCCGTGTTTGGGTTTCTTCTCCACCTGACTTTGTTGTTCTTCTTTTAGTGCATTAATGAATTTTCAGTTCCCTTCAAAAAAAAACTTATCTCATAAATCAATTATTTTTTTCCATAATTTGTAGTCAAAACTTAAAAATATTGACAACAAAAGTTAAAATGAGACAAAAAAAGATATGGAAAGGAGATAATATAAAATTCCAAAGAGCATATAGTTATTTGACAAGTTAACACCAAGAAAAAAAAATCAATCCCAAAATTGAAATGGTATTTTCTTTCACTTCGAGAATCCTTGCATTGAGAACTATATATGGAGCACTTTGAAGGGTAACCCCTCGCCTTGAGCCCTTAACATGACACAACATCAAAGTTTGAAAAGGAATCTCAAAGTGGGAGTCAAACTGGTGACTTTTTTTTTTATCAAAATTAACCATTTGCACGAACTTTATGCTCCACATAAATAAAAAGTTTGTGTGAGAAGATCCACAAAAATAATATGTACCTAAGGTGCACCAAAGAAGCACTCCTTTTCTATTTGGGTGTTCCAGACAATACATTTCACTTAGGGGCTGTTTGTTTCAGCCTCTTAATGGTTCAGATGTCTGAATGGTTCAGCACTTAATGGTTCAGACTGTTTGTTTCAGCCTCTTAATGGTTCAGATGTCTGAATGGTTAAGACATTTGCCTCTGAATGGTTAAGTATTATACAGAGTCTGAATGGTTAAGACCTCTTATCTGAATTGATTAGACATTTGCCTCTGAATAGTTAAGCAATATACTAGCTTTTAATGGTTCAGACCTCCTCTTACTGGTTCAGCACTTAATGGTTCAGACCTCTTACTGGTTCAGCGCTTACCTATTCAGAAGTTGCCAAACAGCCCCTTACTTTAGTTTCTCATTTAATACCCTTTTCATCCAAAAATTAAAAAAAAATATTCTCATTTCCTTTTTGGAAGTCTTTAAAAAAACATCTCTTTTACGGAGTAATTTTTTGACAATTTTCTGTGGCTTACCCTCCTCCTCTCTATTTTGTCTCACTACAATTAATCAATTTTATTTTTCTTAAGTTTCGTGTCAAACCCAATTAGAAGTCTGTTTTTGAAACAAAGAGAATAATAAATATGTGACTTGCAAGATTTTGATTTCTCTTTCATTTGAAGAATAAGTAGGAACAAGACTGAATACATGGAATGTCGTTTCAGCGGCCGGGATACAGAATCAGAGGTGGAAGTCAAGATTGACTCTCACCTAGTACCTAAGGTAGACAGGTTTCGTTATCTTGGCTCGGTAATTCAGGCGGATGGGGAGTTAGATGCGGATGTTGGACATCGGGTTGGAGTGGCTTGGGCCAAATGGCGGTTAGCCTCAGGGGTGTTGTGTGATCCGAAGATTTCACCTAGAATGAAAGGTAAGTTCTATCGATCCGTAGTCGGACCTGCTATGTTATATGGGGCAGAGTGTTGGGCGGTTAAGAAGACTCGTGTGCGTCGTCTGCATGCGGCGGAGATGCGGATGTTACGATGGATGTGCGGGAAGACAAGGTTGGATAGGATTTCGAATGAGGTTATCCGACGTCAAGTAGGTATGGCACCGGTGGAAGACAAGTTGCGGGAAGCGAGGTTGAGGTGGCTTTGCCATGTGAGACGGCGGGATGCTGATGCCCCTGTACGGAGATGCGAGAGGATTACTGTTATCAGGGGAAGGGGTAGACCTAAGAAGAATTGGGAGGAGGTGATAAGACAGGATTTAGGACTTCTCGACCTGACTGAGGATATGGCCCTAGATAGGAACCTTTGGAGAACTAGGATTAGAGTAGCTGGATAGGAGCTAGGTGTTGTAGAGGTTGTTTTGTAGTGTGTTGTATTTGTTGGGAATCTTTGGCTATTGTTTGTACTTGTTGCTTATACTTGGTGCCTTATCTGTGCTATACTGTGTTCTCTTCCATATTTTTGTGCAGGTGGAGCCGGGGGTCTCTTGGAAACAGCCTCCCTACTTCCGAGTAGGAGCAAGGTCTGCGTACACACACCCTCCCCAGACCCTACTGATGTGGGATTCAACTGGGTTGTTGTTGTTTCATTTGAAGAAATTTAAACAATGCATTTCTCTTACATTTCATGAATGTCAAACTAGATAGAGTTTTTTTTTTGAGTACTCACTATGTGACTATTCTATCTTCATTTTCCTTTTTATGCTTTCTTTCTCTATAAAGAAAAGATTCTTTGATCAAATACTCCTTTTAGAAGATTGAATTGTAGTGCATTTCCCTTTTAGATTGCACAATCATCACAAGCTCTTGACCCTTCATATCTGGAATTAGGATGATTGAATTTATTAGATCATATTCTTTATGCCTTGATTTAATTTTTTTTTACTAGAGTTCGAAAACTAAAGTCTAGATGCGATTGTAGTTTTAACTAAAATTGAAATTTTGTAAACTGGAGAAGTGTTATACAAAGTTGAAAGAAACAATTGGAGTTTGCCCTAAGTTCGGGCAATATGCACAATGCAAGCCAAGACAATCAAGAGTTAAATCATAAATTGTGTTACTGGTTCAATTTCTTTATTATTTTATTAACATAGATAAATAATAATGATACTAATAATAATAATAATAACTCTATTAATAATAGGAAAAATACACATAAATAATTTTCAATTCATAGTTGGAAAGAATTGGAAGCGACTCGAAAGAGTTCGAAAAGTTAGAAGGAATGCGGAATATGTTGTCATCACCAAAGGGGCCAGGATATTAAACTATGACTGAGTATAAGTTGCTTTAGTTATTGCCAATTGATTCTCTAAACATGGCTCTATAAATTGCATCAAGATTGGTCAAAGACACCACTTCAAGAGTACTGAACTTACTTACAGAGGCTATGACTCAACCCGACCGAATGGCCTCACTTGATCCACCCATATAGCGGACCATCCCCCGGTGTGGGATAATATGTGGTTTATCCTAGAAGAGATTGGCAATGTGAGTTTTCAAGATGTTGTCTAATTTCGAACAAAAATGACCAAATGAAATGCTAAAACAACGGGTAATCAATCTGTTCACAACAAGCAACTTACCTCCATTTAGAGAAGAAATGTGGAACCAGCGCATTTGTTAGCACATGCCTCCGTTGTGGGAAGATGCACTCTTGGACCATATTATCGCGTCCCTTTGATAAGATATCTGGTTTTTCAAAAAAAAAAACAAGCAAGGCATAGCAAGAAAAAACTTAGGGAACCATAGTCAACCCAAAAATATATCTATGCACGCGCACCCAGACACACATTTATCAGCATTTATGGTTCATTTGACAATGGTCTCTAAGAATTTATCAGGTAACCCCAGACATACCAACACAATTACTGGGTATTATTTTTCACCTTTCCAAGCATTTTCCAGGATCCAAACATGTCATTGGCGATGTATCTGCTGACAAACAGAAATATAGGAAAAACTAGTATTTCGTGTACCCCAACCCCCATATCCCATTATCCGGCACATCATACTATTATATAAGCATGCCAACTTCTCTGATTTGTGCATACATTAGATATTCATTCTACACTCAACGCATTCACTTTATTTCTCTGCATTCTTAGATATTTGCTTCTGCCAAGTAGAAAGTGGTGAAAACATAAAAGGGAGGAAGGGCTTATAAGGTAATATAATCCTAAAGAATAAGTGATTCAGGAGAGAATGACACTCCGACTTCAGACATGCTCGAGACAGCATTTTCAATCGCCTTTAGTGTTTTGGATAATTTTTTAATGGAGGTAAATTTTAAAACGTTAAAACTACACACTGTCGTTAGGTAGCCTTTTCAAAATGTTAAAGCTGATGTTGCTGCCAAACAGACACTTTATCTCTTTCCCAAAAGCTTAGAACATGATAGGATACAAAGAATATGTGATGCATGTAGGTGGGTCGGTCCCATCTACTGATCTACACATTCTCAGAAGTAGAGCATAAGAGATCAGTTTTGTTTTTGAAAAAGGGTACCTTAAATGGATTTAATGAGAAGCAACTTAAGAAATAATGGTACCAACTCCTTACCTTTGCAGGCCAATGAGTTTGGTTGCTACCCAAGAGTAAAATCACGTGAAGCCTTGTAACACGAGCAAAGAACTATGCACACCTCACCCCTCCCCTCCCCCGTCTCCAGATTGAATCCAACATAGTCACAACCCTATGTGGCATTCGATTGCTGGGGTCAGGATGCCAAAAAATACTTGCTCTTTCCACATACTCAGTGCTACTGTGATTTTGTTTGCTTGTAATGTTGTATTTGAGCCGGGTCTCTGGGAAACGGCATGTCTGAATCCAGGTTAATGAATAGCAACTTTCCAAATGTCTCAACCCCCAGAGTATCAAGCAGGCAAATGTGCATGCATCTATGCCACAAGTAGTTGTTGTATCACGGCTTCCAATTGGATATATTGATTATCGATGGATAAAATTCACCACGCTGTACGCTGATTCTTTCTTCACATTATTTCTATCCCTCCTCATCCTAACCTCATTTGCATCATCTAATTTTCCAGCTTCGATATACATGTTATAAAGAAGTAAATAAGGACCAGAGTTTTCTGGTTCAAGACGCATTAATGCTTCAGCTGCTGTTCTTGCAAACTCCAGATTATTGTGCACTCTACAAGCACCCAATAATGCTCCCCATACAACCTTATCTGGCTCAATGGGCATACTTTTTATTATTTCCATGGCCTCTTCAATTCGGCCATGACGGCCTACAATATCCACTAAAGAGGAAAAGTGCTCCAACCTTGGCTCAATACCGAATTCATAAACCATGGATTTAAACTGGAGACGACCTTCTTCCACCAGGCCTGCATGAGCACAGGCAGATAGAACAGCAATAAAAGTGATGTATGTTGGTTTCATTTTAAGCTTCTTCATCGTGTTAAAAAGTTCCAGTGCTTCTTTAGCCAAGCCATGAGATGCATATCCTCCTATCATGGCATTCCAAGATATTACATCTTTGCGAAGTTTCATCCTGTCAAAAATGGACCTTCCTTCCACTATAGCCCCACATTTGGCATACATAGTAATGAGTGAGTTGTTTAGTGGTACATCAGGTAAAACAGTCTTTGTCACCAGCTGATGAATCTGCATACCAAGATGCAGATCTACAGTTTCTGCACAAACACCTAGAAGTGAAGATAATGTGTGCTTGTCAGGTTTTACTCCTGCCAATTGCATCTCAATGTAAAGTCTTATAGCTCCTTCATAGTCTCCATTTCTCTCATATCCTGCTATCATGGTATTCCAGGAGACACAATTCTTCTGTGGCATTCTTTCGAAAAATTTATAAGCAAGTTCCAATCTGCCTCCTTGTGCATATCCTGAGATTATTGAATTCCACGAAAATACATTTGGGTTTGGCATCATAGAGAGTAGATCCGAAGCTTCTTTCATATTTGAGACACGCACATAACCGCTGATCATCGTGTTCCAGGAAATAGTGTCCTTTTCAACCATTAGATCAAAAAGCTCCCTAGCTGAAACAATATCCCCAGTCTTTACATAACACATGATCATTGAATTCCATGACACTATGTTTCTTTCAAACCTCCTACATTCTTGTGTAGCCTTCGTTGCATAAAATGGCATTTGATCAAAAAGACGTCTAGCATCTTTGATCCTGCCCTTCTGACCATACCCAGCAATCAACGTGTTATAAGCAAAAACCAGATCACTGCTTTCACCACAACATCTCTGAAAATCAAACAGTAAATTTGCAGCCTCGTCCAATTTTTCATTCTGTATCAATCCCGACACAATCACACTAAGAGAAGCTGCATCTCGTTTTGGCATTCTCTTGAAAGTTTCGACAGCAGTTTTCACACAGCCATTTTGTAAAAGACCGGAAACAACAGCATTCCAAGACACCACATTCTTCTCGGGCATACAGTCAAAAAGCATCAATGCTTCATCCATTTGCCCAACCTTGGCATACCCACTTATCATCGTATTCCAAGAAATAACGTCTCTCGCGGGCATACAATCGAACAGATATCTTGCATAGTCAATGTAATCAGTTCCCCGGCTAGACATGTAACACGAAATCATCAAATTCCAAGAGACAATGTCCCTCTGAGGCATTTGATCGAACAGCTTCTGAGCTTTCTCCATTTCATGGCGTCGCGTGTACCCAGTGAGCATCGAATTCCATGTCACAATATCTCTGTGCCTCAATTGGTCGAACATGAACCGGGCATCCTCAAGCCTGCCACTTCGGATCAAAGCAGTAATTGTGTTGTTCGTTGACCGGAGGTCTGGCTTCGCCTGGGAAACAATGGGCTTCCCTGTTGAGAAGTGATTCACCAGTTGGCCTTTGGATTGCTTGCGTTGTCTCAATGCCCATCCGAAAATGCCCAATTTTCTAGGGCTAACCGCCATTGTTGAAAGGGTTTATGAAAGAAAGATGATGGGGTTGTGAAAGATAAACACAAGAAGAAATTTAAGGGGCTTTCTCTTGGTTTTCATCTCCATCCCCATCAAGAATCAAGCCGGAATCACACCACTCTCACTGCCCTCAAACAATGATCAAGGCATTCCATGTTATTGGCAAGGAAAATGCTAGGGGTAAACCAAAGGTGTACCCCAAACATCCCCTACCCCATTCATCACCACAAAAAAAACAATAAAAATTCAAAAAAAAAAAATAAAAATTAAAAACGAAATAAAATGAATGGTAAAGAGAGGGATGATGTACATTTGGAGTACACCTTTAGTGTACCCCTAGCATATCCCGGTTGGCAATGGTTCCGACCCAAGACAAATCACTAAGGGCCTGTTTAGTCACTTCTAAAATATGATGGGGAGTACATTGATTTTGAAAACTACTGATATAAAGTTGTTCGAAAAAATTTAAAATTATGATTTAATTAGTAATTGACAGAGATCGCCGGTAACGGAAATGGTTGGTGGTGGCAGTGATAGCTGATGGCGGGCGATGGTCGACGGTTGAGGGAAATATCAAATTCTCATATTGATATCTTTCATATTCAGAATATATCAAAACTCTTCATTTGGATGATTTGAGATTTTTTAAAGATATCAAACTCAAATTCTTTTTATAACTCACCAAACGCAAAAAAAATAATATCAGGGGATATGAAAATTTATATCTCCTACGTTCATCAAACGGACTCTAAATCAGTATCCTACTCCCTCCATATATTTTATTAAGGCCATTTGACGAAGGCGGGGGATAATGAGATACTTCTTATGAGTTTCCATCTCTCCATATCAAATTTCTTTTCTGCTAATTGGTGAGCTAAATACCAGACATCTCCCTATATCACAAATTCTCTTAGGGTCTGTTCATTTGAGTTGAAAAAGTTAACTTCCAACTTCTTTCAGTTTTTTCTAACTCCTTTCAGTTTCTTCTAGCTTTTTCAAGTTTCTTTCAATTTTTTCAGTTTCCTCTAACAACAACTAAAAAAATATTTACATATCATAAATATACAATAACATCATATATTCAAATTTATAACATGGCACCTCAAACACGAACAAAGATATTTTTTATCCAAAATCAGTTTTTAGATATCTATATTTGGATGATTATTTGGTTGCTTAAATTTTTAGGATTTTAATTTTTTAACATTTTTCAATTCCTTATAACTTTTTTAAATATCTTGTAGTTTCTTCCAACATCTAACTCTGTTTTTTCAACCAAACGAACAAATTCATAATAGAGATTTCAATATGATTGATATATTTCCAACGATCGACCACCAGATATGACCGTCAACCATCTTTACTGCCGGCCACCCACAACTATCAATAATAAATTGCGGTTGTTTATCTCTAAACAATTTTTTGATATTATAGTGTTGCACAGACATACACAGATAAAAGTTGTCAGTGTTTAACAATCATGTCAAATTATGATGTAGTTCTAACTTTTTTTCTATTTTTTTACTCTCATCCACCGTTGTCTCGAAAACAAGAGTGATGTTAGAGTCACAAACAAAATACTCACAAAATGCACATATTTATCATTTGTATATTTTATTTTTTATTTTTTAATTTTTGGACCATTATTTGAATATATTACTTTATATATTTAACAAGTTTGTAAATTTTGTGGAATGTTTTGTTTGTGACCCTAACAAATAACAATCTATCCATTTAAACTTTATACTACAATCTATGAATTTGATGGAGTAATATTCTATCTAAACTCATGGAATTTTTAGTTTCAAAGAAAGAATATATTCTTGACCGACAAATGAGGCTTTTGACTTTTTTGAGCATAAAAAGGAATTTTTTTAGGCATAAGAGATCATTAGTTACACAACTATGAGTCTATGACTACATAATTAAATTTCTTTTTCTATATTTCATTTTCACTTTTAAGAACTCAATTACTGATGATTTTTTCCAGTTAAATTAGACGAATTCGATTTGATTATCTAAAAAACAAAAATTCTATTGCAAAATTTGTATAATGAACAAATTGTTTTTTGTGTGAAAACTACGAAGTAGTTTAAGAAATCAATTTTACATAAATATGTAATATAATGGGTCTGTTTGGAAATAACGATAGAGATTAGCGTTAGTGTTTTGGATAAAATTTTAACGATGCAGATTACTTTGAAAACACTAACGCTAAATGATGACTGTAGATAATCTTTTCAAAACGCTAACGCTAATCGCTAACGTTATTCCCAAACAGACCCAATATTTTATGTAAATAATCATCACTGTTCATCAAGATAGAGTTTAATTATAAAAAAGTCAAATTTGACGAATACATTAGAAACAATATCTCTTATCTAGGGAGCAATACTCATATTAAATGAAGACAAATTATTTTTTGATCTTCATGTGGAATCATGTCCATACTTATTTTATATATTCATAAATAAAATTTGTTGGGCTTTTAAAAGGAAAGGAATCTAACTATAAAATCATAAAAAATATGTGAGAAAAACTACATTTTACATAGGAACCTATGGCTACAAGCTTACAATAGCACAACTCTTAAATGAACTCAATGTTTGAAAATGAAAGAACACATGCACCTAAAATATAACAAGAAAAACATCACATGAACCAACAAACTTGTAAAAAAATTATTCCGTATTTATTGTACAACAACAGATAAGACCAAAATCAACATCGTTCATGTTTTACCGGATATAAAAAATTTAAGTCTGGACATTAAAATCGTGAATCAAGATATAGTTCTAATTTGAACATATTTTATGTTCGGTTCAAGAAATTTGAAAAGGAAAAGAAAACAAAATGAGATTCAAAATAGTTCTTCTTGTTTGGTTAGAGAAGAAAAAAATATAAAAATGAAAAAAAAAAGAGAAGACAAAATACCATCAAAACCAAATTTCTCTCATTTTGTTGAAGAAAATTAGAGAACCAGTTTTTTTCTTTTCTTCCAAATTTTCTTGAAGCAAACATAGTATAAGTATTATAATATGAATTTCAAAATTTGAAACTTGTAGTCTAAACATTACTTTGTTGAAACTTAAGTTTGGAAAATAAAATCTAGAGTTGGAACCCCAACTTTAGATGCACTAACTTGACTAGATTTTGAATTTGAAGTTTGAAATTACTCCATAAAATTTAAATAAGTAACCTTAAATGTTAGGTAAAATCATTTTGTACTGTTACTTATTCTATTACAATTTAATATTTCTTCATAAGGTATCTTAACTCCTAATATTTCAACTTTTACCAAGTGCATGTTTCACCGCAACTTCAACCTTCAATTTTAGCATGGTTAAATAAATTACAAAGTATCTAGTAGTAATATTTAGCTCTAGCAATTTCGAATTTAATTTGGGTCATTAATAGATTAACCAAAACGTAAAATCTTCTTAAAAATATTACGGAGTATTACCAAAACAAGTGTAAGTCGAAAATCCATAAGCCATGAACTGTTTAATGTTTACACTTCATCATATCCTTATAAAGAGTAGAATATTACTATAACAACATTTCCTCTTTCATTAAAAATATCAAAGCCACACACACACTTGAGCCCTTCACCTTTAAACTACTTTCCCTAAACAAGCTAACAACTAGAGCTAATAAGACTCCTAAAGAGTAATTACAAGTTGGGAAAGTTGCATTTACAAGTATATACTATGATTTCTTTTTTATTCTTTTCATTCCTGTGTATTATGGGAAGTTGTAGTTGTGATGATATCCTCCTCCTCCGCCACCACCACCACCACTGCCGCCACCGGGGCTAGAAAAATTGGCCTGAGGCTGAACAGTGTTCGTGTCCATGGCGGTCGTGATGTCATGGATGCTGGACCGCTTGCGCTCCTTCTTCATGGACTGTTGCCGGAGGAAGTACTTTTGGGCATGGCTGGCCACTTGTGTTGGGGTTCTCGTCACCACCACGTTCCTCGAAATGCTTCTCCAGTCCCCCTTCCCGTACCTATCGAGTCCAATGAGGAACAACCTGTTTGTTTTTTTACACAAGAACAGAACAAAACAAGGTTGGAAGTCAACACCACCAATGATTAAAGTTTTTAAGAATGGAATTTTGTCATTAAATGGGCATATTAAATGGACTTTGTCACAATTTTTTATTTTTAACACCCTTTACCATTGGCCTACCTACCATAACTAATTATTTACTCCCTCCATTTTTTACTCTCCCTGCTGAACTTTTGACCAAACTATCAGAAATTACAGAGTAGACGCTTAAAAAAGAATGGAGGGAGTACTCCATAGCAACAATTGTTTAGTTATAATGAGATCAAGAATGAGATTCAGTTATCTACCAAGCCAAAAAATCAATGCCATCAGAGCAACACTTTGAAGCTGACACACCATAACCACCACATTAATTAAGAAACCAATGATCAAGAAACAAATCATCATCAATGCCATGTTCAGTGGCAAGAAAAGACATTTGTATAAAATTAGGCAGTGTAAGAAGGTCATATATAAATGCCCAAAATAGTTTTTCGAATCACACTAATGTCAATTATAACCAACAAAACTTGGCTAAACTCCATCCCTATAACATTGCTCTTAATCTCCATCCACAAACAAATCTCTATGGATAATACTATATCAAACTTTGGTGGCTAGAAGGGTTTTGTTTGAAATTTGATGGAGTGTAAAGGTTATGAATAGCCAACAAGTTCCTCCAGAATTAGAGTGAAACCATTCAAGAATGGAAAAAAAGTTAAGGTCAAAGGAATCTTTGATGCTCATAAATCCTCAATAATTATGCATTTCATCAACTTTTCAAATTAAAGTTGTGTTGTAAATAGAACTCCAATCAATACTTCAAAATGTTAGCACTAAATTCTTCAATCTGCAGTGTCCTTACAACCAAGAAAATCAATATACTCCAATGAGCTGCAATCTTGCAAAAGATATTGGATTCGATTCGATTTTCATAGCGAGTATAAATTTAAACAATAAAAAGTAGAATATATCATCCAATTCACAATAAAGTAAAATAAAAATTGCGCAAAATCCCAGCTATTTCGGGAAGAATTTTAGAAAATTAGAAGAAAATCGCAAGTGAAATGAAACCGACCTGTGTTCTTCCTCGGTCCAAGGAGTTCCCTTCTTCCGCTCAACCTCTCCGGGTTTCCTGTTGTTACCGAAGGAGATCTGGCTGGGCTCGGCCTGGTCCCAGCCGAAGGAACCGTCGGGATAGGTCGGCAACTCAACTCGGCCCGAGTCGATTTCACCGACATCGTGAATCAGCGCCTCGTAGTGAGCAATAACGTCTCCGACGGTCTTCCCGGGAATCTGGTCGGCGATCCTCTGCCACCGGTCGTCACCGTCAGGGAACAGCACCAGAGCCTGCTCGAAAACCTTGTCCTCGTAACGACTCCACGCCGGAGACGCCGTCGTCGCCGAATCGGCGATCATCCACGGATTGCTCGCACGGTACATCATCTCTGTTTCTCAAGAATTTCAGCAGGCGAGGGTTTGTGAGGGATTTAAGGGGTTTTTGGTTTTTCTAGAGACGGCGAAAATGGATATATGAAGAAGGATACTTTATGCAGAATTGGTCAGATAATTGATATGGGTAATATATATACGGAGTATATATAATCCCCCCACTCCAAGTTTTTTGGACTATTTTTTTTTTCTTTTTAAAATAATAGAATAAATTCTATAATTAGTCCTTTATAATAGAGGATTTCTCTAATTAGTTCTCTATTATCAAATATTATCCAAGTGGTCCTTCTTTTATGAGTATCTTTCTACAAATAGTCCTTTTTTTATCTTCTATCATGTTTGTGTTAATTTGAGAGCTAAAAGTATAATTTCACAATGATAATATATCTTTTTTGTCATACACAATTTCAAAGGTTGTTCCGTTTGCGTCGTTTGTGAATTATAGACGCTTTCTACTACAACCATAGTCTACAAATGTGATCTTTCGTCAGAACCCTAGCCCACAACCATAGTCATTATTGTTGTGTTATCCGCTTAACCAATATCAGAACACGTCACTAAACATAATGTTGATGTCAAATTATACTTTTAGCCTTTAAATTAATACCAACACAACAGAATATCAAAAAAAGGACCATTTGTGGAAAGATACGCTTTTAAAAAGGACTATGGGGGTAATATTTGATAATAGAGGACTAAATATGGAAACCCCCTATTATAAAGGACCAATTATGGAATTTACTCAAAATAATAATTTTTTTGCAATATTTTTCAAAATGATAAAAATTCCATTTGTTCGAAAATATTCTTCTTGATTCGATTTATGATATTTCACTTATGTTATTTTCAATTCGGATTATTTAGTTATAAGTGTAAAATTTAAGAATAAAATTTAGTATGTGTATTTTAAAAACTACGGAGTATATTTATAATTCTATAATATACGAGCTGACATGTTTATGTTATTTTATCTTATAACTAATGAAAATGAATAAAGAAAGTAATTAAAATTTAATCATGTAAATAATACCGTAGTAATTGAGAAGCAAGTTTGGTTTGACAAAAGAGTAATACTCCGTAATCATTTAATGTAAAACCAATATTAGAATGTTGACGTTCAAAGTTATTGTTTTAGTTTTTTTGTGTTTTTATTTAATTTTATTAAAAAAATAAAAATTGAATAATGCATGGACATAGGAACATTCTATCTACCTTTATTTATTTATTTTTAAGTGATTATATGACTCAAAAAGAACAAAGAACAAATGTATTATAGAATTGTTTAATGCTCACTAAAAAGACAAATAGATTATCATACGCTACGGAGTATATATTTTTTGAAACATTAGTGGTAATATAAAATGACACTTTAACTCAGCACGAAAGTTAATTAAGAAACTAAAAACTGGTTAATTGACCTTTTTTTATCTAACATAATCTATAATTTCTTAATTAAGATTATGATAAGATAATTTTGTAAACATTTTGAGCAAAGATACAATTAATTAAATGATTTCTATAACTTTTTCTGTTTAGATAATGGCCAAAATTCATGTAGCTTGATGGAAGGGTACTACGTACCTTTGCTCTGATAAAAAAGTACTCCCTCCGTCCCAGAAAACGTTTCTCCTTTCTTTTTTCATTCGTCTCAAAAAACACTTCTCATTTCTATTAAAAAGTCACTTTTACCCCTTACTTTTTCATATCATGCCTATCACATCATACCTTTTTACTAATAATCTATTCATCAAATCATATTTTTACCTATCACATCAAAGGACATTTTTGGAAATTCAATACCAAAATACATTCCCCTTAAATTCCTCTCCAAAGCCAAAACTCCCATGTTTTCTGGGACGGAGGGAGTATTTTCTTTTGATAATATAATTATATGACTCCAATGAGTATATACTTTATAGGCCAGTTTGAATTAGCATTGAAGTTTTGAAAAACTATCTACGAACATCGTTTAGCATTAACATTTTTTAAATTAATCTGTACCGTTAAAATTTTATCTAAAAATCCTAACGCTAATGAAAAAGTTATTCCCAAACAGACCAATATCATTCCTTAATAACGCTTATTTTTTAATTTTCACCTTAATTTTTTTTTAATTTAGTTTATTTGATTTAGGATCTTAAGTTAATATGTGAATTGTAAGTAGATTTTGTGAAATTGTGTGGCGTGGAACTTAAGTTAATATGTCAATTATTTGCCTACCAATTGTAAGTGCCAACTAATGTTTACATTTGTAAATGTCAAAAAGTTTCTACACGCTTTAACTTGTCAACTTCATGCCTCTTTTCTTGTCATCTGATTAAAATGTCTAAAGCTATTTCTTATTCATTTTTATTCCTCCACCTTAATTTAAGTTGTGTGTTTATTATCGCAAGTTCAAACTTGAACAATATTTTAAATACGTTTTCACTACCCATCGGAGAAAATAATATAGTTATGTCATCTTTAATTTTATAAATTTTTTATGTAGTTTTTAAAATATATACTCCGTATAATTTTTAATTCTATACTAATTTTCAAATAAATTTAACTAAAAATAACTTGAGAAAAAAAGACTAAAGTATGAGCAAAACATTGAAAATATAACAAAATATGAGTTCTATATTTTTATTCTCGATATAAAAGTTAAAATGTATCGTTTGGCAATAGTAAAATTGATTACGGTCATTATATGATAACGTAATACTTCGTATGATAACAAAAGTTGTCCATTTGTTGTCAAAAGAAGCGGGCCGGTTTTTTATCTTTTAAATGGGACAAAATTATTGGAGTACTTATATATATATATATATATATATATATATATATATATATATATATATATATATATATATATATATATATATATATATATATATATATATATAATACTCCGTATATAATAATGCATCACGCCTGGCGTGGTGCTGTCTGGTTCAATGAATTGGAAATGTATGGGGTTTTGAACTTTGAAGCAATATAATGAATGAGAGCTCAATTCTGTCACGTTTGTTTGTGTCTATTTTAAGTGTTTCTTCTCACCAAACATCTTTCTAAATTTTGTTTTATAGCCATGTATGGCAAATGCATTATTTTATACACTAAAGAAAGAATATAAATTGGTCGTATTATTTTTGGTAAATAATGCTGATGAATGTGCTTTGAAGTAACTAAATTTGGTGATTTTTATATTAACTTATTATACTCTCTCCGTCCACACATAAACTTCCCGTTGCGCGTTACGATGTTTGACTGAAGTTATTTTAAAATTATTTTATATAAAAAATGGTGTGACTGAAGTTATTTTAAAATCATTTTATATTAAATAATTATATCAAAAGATATACAAAATTAGAGATGACATACATGACTATATTATTTTATCAAATGAGTGACGAAAATAAGCCAACAAAGTAAATAAAGTTTGACCCTGTGAATAGTTTACGAAAAGTTTATTTGTTGACAGATGGAGTATTAGTTATATTACTTTCATTTTAATTATAGTGGTTGATGGAGTACTTACTTTTCAAGTAGATAGAGAATTTGTATCTGTTGAAGAAAATAATATGATAATTGAGAAAATCATTCATATGGGACTAAGCTATGGAATATTTACACAAATATATACTCCTTTCGTTCTCAAAAACACTTACTCTTTCATTTTTTTTCACTTCCAACAAAATACTTCCACTTTCTATTAAAAAACTACTTTTATCCTTACTTTTTCATACCCTACCTATCACATTATTCACCTCATACTTTTTCTCTAATAATCTACCCATCACATCTTACTTTTACCCATCACATCAAGGGCAAAATTGGAAGTCAACTACAGTACAATTTAACACTTTCTTATTTTTCCACTTTTTCAAAATAAGAACTCTTTTTGAGAACGGAGGGAGTAGAACCTTTTTTTTTTAATTTTTACTCAAATTAGCCTTATTTGGTCGGGTTTTTAATTCTGTTTTACCCGTTTTCTTTTTGATAAACGCCGAACGATTTACTACCTTCCTGACTAGATATTAATATTGGTTTTTAGTGCATACTGCATCAGCAATTGGGCAGTAATGTTGGTTATTAGTGGAATTCTTTTTAGAGTAAATTCCATAATTGATCCTTTATAATAGGGGGTTTCCACATTTAGTCCTCTATTATCAAATATTACCCCGTAGTTCTTTTTTTGAGGGTACCTTTCCACAAATGGTCCTTTTTTTGATCTTCTGTCGTATTGGTGTTAATTGAAAGGCTAAAAGTATAATTTGACATCAACATTATGTTTAGTGACTTGCTCTGATATTGGTTAAGCGGATAACACAAAAATAATGACTATGGTTGTGGGCTAAGGTTCTGACGAAAAACCACATTTGTAGACTATGGTTGTAGTAGAAAGCGACTGTAATTCACAAACGACGCAAACGGAACAGCATTTGAAATTGTGTATGACAAAAAAGATATATTATCATTGTGAAATTACACTTTTAGCCCTCAAATTAACACCAACATGATAGAAGATCAAAAAAAGGACTATTTGTGGAAAGATACCCATAAAAGAAGGACCACTTGGATAATATTTTATAATAGAGGACTAATTAGGGAAACCCCCCTGTTATAAAAGAGCAATTATAGAATTTACTTTTTTTTTAATTGGACACTAATGTAGTTTTTTTTCAGTGTATATAAAAATAGATAAATAAAGATGATAATATTTGATTATGTGAGTAAAAATTAAGGATAACGTGCTGCAAGGTTTCTATATTTTTTTAAAGTGCTTTCCAAGTCACTGAATTGTTTTAAGTGCTTATACAAGGTCTTTATTTTTTTTCAAAGTACTTCACATGTTTCTAAATTATTTTAAGTGCTTATATGATACGTATTCTTTTTAACTGATGCATTAGTGGTACCTTCGGTGGCTTTTTTCAACCCAAGTCTTCTGAAATTACTGTAAGAATTGATGTTATATCATATATTTTTGAACAACTTGTGGGTGTTACCCAAACAATTTCTGCACACTTGATCTGAAAAAATACTACCAAAAGGAATACTAACGCACCAGTTAGAAAGTATATGGACCTAGTAGAACTAAAAATAATTTATAGGCTTATGAAGCACTT